ACAGTGACAGCAGTGTGTACCATCCACAAGATACACCACTGTCCATCATCATCACTTCCAAACCCACAGCCTCTCCCACCAGAAGGTCAGGGGGCCAGACATGTGGAACAGCACCAGTTCCAATCTCCTCTCCAAGAGACACAGCATTTTGGAGTTCTTTCGCCATGCCTTCACTGTCACTGGATCAGAAACCTGCAGACTCCCTTTAAACAGCACAGTGCGTGAATCTACATTAGATTGGCTGCAGGGTTCCAAGGTGGTATGAACTTTTTTTTAACATATTAAAACCAACTGGACTAAAATCGGAGATTGTTGGAAATGAAGTGGGAAATAAAGCTTTTCCATTTTAACTGCTTATCTATTACAGTCCCAACAAGGTAGAGTGGACTTTAAATCTACAAGCCCATCCCTTCCAATCACTGATAGATTACCATAGCCATTACAGAATCATCAAACTGCTGCAGGGCAGAAGGAAGCCAATTGTGTCTGCATGGACTTTCCAAATGAACAACAAAGATGCTTTCTCTCCATACCTTTACATTTTCTTCCTTTTCAGATAACAGGCTAATTCTCTTGGAATGCTTCAATCTCAGACAATCCAGACCTTAACCACTCACTGCATTAAAACGTTTTTCTCCTATTGCTTTTGTTTCCATTATCAATTACTCTAACTTTGTACCCCTCAATTTTGGTACTGTCACAAATGGGAACAGTTTCTCCCTTTCTCCACTCTCCAGATTTCCCATAATTTGAAGTATCTCCATCAAATTTCCTCTTTTTATTCATTTGTGAGATGTGGGCATCACCGGCTGGGCCAGCATTTATTGCCAGTCCCTAGTTGCCCCTTGAGAAGGTGCTGGTGAGCTGTCTTTTTGAACCACTGCAGTCCCTGTGCTGTAGGTTAACCCATAACGGTCTGCAGGAGGGAATTTCAGGATTCTGACTTAGTGATAGTGAAGGAATGGCAATATATTTCCAAGTCAAGATGGTGAGTGGCTTGGAGGGGAACTTGCAGGGGGTGGTGTGCCCATGTACCTGCTGTCCTTGTCTGTCTAGATGGTAGTGGTCATGGGTTTGGAAGGTGATGTCTGAGGATCTTTGGAGAATTTCTACATTGCATCCTGTAGAAAGTATACACTGCTGCTACTGAGCGTCGCTGGTGGAGGGAGTGAATTGTTGTAGATGTGGTGCCAATCAAGTGGGCTGCTTTGTCCTGGATGGTGTCAAGCTTCTTGAGTGTTGTTGGGGCTGCACTCATCCAGGCAAGGGGGGAGTATTCCATCATACTCCTGACTTGTGCCTTGTAGATGGTGGACAGACTTTTGAGATTCAGGAGGTCAGTTATATTCTGCAGTATTCCTAGCCTCTGGCCTGTTTGTGTAGTCAGTGTATTTATATGGTGAATTGAGTTGAATGTCTGTTCAATGGTAACCTCAAAGGATGTTGATAGTGGGGATTCAGGGATGGTAACACCATTGAATATCAATGGGCCAGAGGTTAGATTGTCTCCTGTTAGAGTTGGTCATTGCCTGGCATTTGTGCAGCATGAATGTTACTTTCCACTCTTTAGCGTAAGCCTGGATATTGTCCAGATCTTGTATCATTTGCACATGGACTGCTTCAGTATCTGAGGAGTCGCGAATGGTTCTGAACATTGTGCAATCATCAGATGAATATTGCCACCTTATGATGGAGGGAAGGTCATTGATGAAGCAGCTGAAGATGGTTGGGGCAAGGACGCTACCCTGAGGAACTCCTGCAGAGATGTCCTGGAGCTGAGGTGTGTGACCTCCAACAACCACAACCATCTTCCTTAATCTTCATTTCTCAGGGAAAATGGCCCTAAGTTTTCCAACATATCTTCATAACTGAATTTATTCCTCCCTTGAATCACAATGATGTAGTCAGAGTCTATTCAGCCAATCATGTCTGCACTGGGTCTATTATCTAGTGGATAGGAACTATTTTCATGAATCTTCTTTGTCCTCTATCCAATGCCTTCATAAAGTGTGGCACCCAGAACTGGCTGCAATATTCTGATGGAGGCTGAACCTCTGTCCAATGCAAATTCAACTTTGCTTCCATATTCTGTTTCAGTCCTGTTTATTTCCCTCAATCCTGAAATCTTATTGGTTATGAGGCTGGATTTCTGTTCATATCGTTCATTATGGCTCCAAATGCCTCTCTCTGTCAGCTTTCTCTGCCAGCAAATTATAGGCAACACATTTAAGGTGAAGGATAAATTATTACAGGCTACAGAGTGAGATGTTCCATTCCAGCAATATCTAGGTCATTACATATTAATGAATGGAAGAGGAAGGATAGATTTGCCGAATATATACATCGAGCCACTTCTCTGATAAACATTCAAAACTCTTCACAGGCAATGATACGTTTGAAATGCAATCACTGCTTTGATGTAGATAAATTTTGCAAGCTCCTTAAAATATATCATGGCACGCAAGAGCAGCAAGAGAGCTGAACAAGCATTCCATCTGTTTTTTGTTTGGGGGTAGGTTTTGGTTTGAGGCAGAATGTTTGGCTGGATTTTGAAGCATTCTCTAATATTCTTCAAATACTGGTATAGATTCCTTTATGTTCAATGTGGTCATTGCATCAAACAAACTGGGCAGTAATGTACCGTTTCTCCCAAAAGGAAACTCTTTCATGCAACATTTCATGAAACATCAAGTTGTATTTCAGAAGCATTTTCCATAATAAAATAAATAAACATTAATGTTTCTCACATCAGTGAGGACATAATTTACATCATTCTGCTTGGTGCATGACTTTCTGGAATTATGAGATTCAAAGGATTTTACTGGTACCTGTGTCACAATAGCCTCATGGGTCCACTGTCATTTAGGCCCATTATAAAGAAATCTTTTAATATAGCACACATCTGTGTCTGTCATACCTGTGATATCACCTTTAAACATCACAACTTGTTACAGATGGAAACTAATCTTAAGATCAGTTAGTAGTGAAACATTTATTGTTAATTTTTTTCTGGTTTACCAGAAAATAGTAGAAGCTGTCAAATAACAATTAAACCTTACTTAATCTACAAATAAATCAACATCTAATCTGCCTCAGAATTTGAATATTAATAACAATTGGACCTTGTAGTCTTAAAGGGACAGGCCAAATACGAGTACCTTATTGTGTGCAGGTGCCGGTGTTGGACTGGGGTGGACAAAGTCAGAAGTTACATGACAGCAGGTTGTAGTCCAACAGGTTTATTTGAAATCACAAGCTTTCGGAGCGCAGCCCCTTTGTCAGGTGAACTTATAACCTGGTATTGTGTGACTTCAAATGAGTACCTTATCAACAGCTGAACATTATACTGTGATCCAATTGTGGAAACTGTTCTTACCCTTGAAAATATACCATCCTTTTACTTGGAGGAGATATATCCTAAGCAATTAAGAGAAGAAATGGGGGGAAATAGTGGAGTCTCTTACCATCATTTTTCCAATTCTCTCTTGCTACAGATATAGTGCCAAAGAACTGGAGAACTTTGAACAATGTGCTGTTGTTTAGAAAGGAAGAAAGGGATAAGCCCAGTAATTGCAGACATAGTTTATGGGCAAATTGTCCCGAATAACTGCAAGCAACAGAATTAATCATCGTTTGAAAGGCATAGGTCAATCAAGGACAGTCAGCATAGATTTGTGAAGGTAAGGTTTTGTCTGACTAATGTTATCACATTCCTTGTTACTTCCTCAAGTAGAAGTGATGATGGAGGTGTACTTGATGTGGTCCACATGGATTTTAACAAGGCTTTTTCACAAGGTCCTGCATGACAGACTAGTCAGAAACATGAATACCCATGGAATTTAAAGGCAACAGAGAAGTTGGATCTAAAATTGGACGAGAGGCAAAAGGTTCTGGCCAATGGGTGCCCTTGTGATTGGAAGGCCAGACCAGTGGAATTCTGCAGGACAAGGTACAAAGTGCTTTGTTTCTCATAATATCTAACAAGGATTTAGACATAAATATTGGGGACATGATTGCAATACAGAAATTGGTCCTGGTATGAAAGTGAGGAAGAAAGCTGTAGGTTGCAAAATGATATCAATGTACAGGAGATGGGGCACAAAGTGGCGAATAGAATTCAGTCCCAAGGATACTGAGATAATGTTTTTTGGGGTTTGGGAGGTTGCTGAGGGAAAGCTAGGGAATATACATTAAATTGCAGGACACTGTAAAGTACAAAGTAGCAAAGAGATCTTGTTGCACAGTCTGCAGCTCCCAGGATAGCAGGACAGAGAAATAACGTGCTTAAGAAAACATATGGGTCACTTTTCTTTAGGAGCCTGGGCAAAGAATGTAAAAACAGGGAGATTGCCCAGGAATGCTACAAAGCACTAGTTAGGCCACGACTAGTGTATTGCATACAGTTCTAGTCATCAAATTGCAGTCAAAATGTGACAGCACGAAATAATATAGAAGGGATTGTGAGGATGTCACCAGAATGGAGGATCTGAGGAAAGATCTGATCAGCTGGAATTGTTTTCTTTTGGGGCTGGGAGAAGATTTAGTTCAGGTGTATAAAATTACAGAGGGGACAAAAATGAATGGGAAGGACTTATTCTCCTTTGCAGAGATCAACAATCAGGGCATAAGTTTAAAATGATCGGCAGAATGATTAGAAGGGGATTGAGTTAGTTTTGAAAGTGCTGGGTGTTCAGAGCTTCTTGCCTGAAAGTGTAGTAGAGCTAGATTAAAAGGAACTGGGATATGTGCATGAAGAAGCCATAGCCTACAAGGATAGAGACTCGGAACTGAAATATGGGATTAGATTGCATGGCTGTTTTCTAGGCCAATATGAATTGAATGGGCCAAGTGGCCTCATTCTTCACTTCAGTTTCTATGATGCTATGATTTACTATAAATATCTCGACAGCACACTTGCTGCTATTTTATAAATGTCATGATCTCAGTGTATACTTTTCTCCTAATTGGTAATCAGATGCAAAACACCTTTCAATATTTACCGTTTTATTGCTTCCTCTTGCCTCAATCTTCTTTCACTTTTTTCTTTGAGGTATGCCAAGTTTGTTTCACTTCGCATGCGGTCATTTTCACGAGCAATGTCTGAGGCATTTTGAATCACCAAGGCATCATAAGCCCTCAGTCCCTTGTCTTCAATGAACTGAAGAAAGTTGTTCAAGGCAGCATCTTCCTGCTTTGAAGTCATCTTCCTTCAAAGAGCAGATGAAAAGTGGAGTAGCACGTTCTGTGTGAAAACAGAATAGCTCTATTACATTAGCAAACACATTCAAATTACTTATCATAGCTAACACCAGTAAGGTCAACTATTTTGCTATTAGACTTAAGGGTCTATTTTGTCTCTGTGTCGTGTAAGTGTAATTCCCTGGTGCACAGTGTTATCCAAAATGTCGACCAATCTAATCAGTTGTGATGGGAATTTGTGTTAAGCTTGGAGTCTATTTCATTGCAAGATTTACCAGGATGTTGCCAGGTATGGAAGGTTTGAGTTATAAGGAAAGGCTGGATAGGCTGGGACTTCTTTCACTGGAGCATAGGATGTTGAGAGGTGACCTGATGTAAGTTTATAAAATAATGTGAGGTATAGATAGAGTTGATGGTAGCTGTCTTTTCCCTGGGATGGGGGAATTTCAAGATTGGGGGGATTATTTTTAAGGTAAGAGGAGAGAGATTTACAAAAGACATGAGGCAAATTGTTTACACAGAGGGTGGATTGTGTGTGGAATGAACTTCCTGATGAAGTGGTGGATGTGGAAACAATTACAATGTTTAAAAGATATTTAGATAAGTACATGAATAGGAAAGGTTTGGAGTGATATGAGCCAGGAGCAGGCAGGTGGGACTAGTTTAGTTTGGGATTACGTTCGGCATGGACTGGTTGGACCAAAGAGTCTGTTTCCGTGCTGTATGATGCTATGGTCCTATGACACTACAGGGAATAAAGCCTTAGGCAGCTCCTGGTAATATTACCTTTTCTCCCAGTTTATGACTCTGAAGAAAAACAGAATTGAATATTCAGAGTTTTTCTTAAATGGGCTGGAAGCTGTTCTATTTTTAAAAAATTGATTTCAGTTTAAACTGAAAGAGCCCAGTGAAAGCTGTGAAGTGCTGCTTGAAGTTTGTCTGTTTGTAGATACACCAGGATGGACAACGTAGCCATTTGGAAGTGAAAAGAACACATTGTGTTACATTTACTCCGCTTAGTGAAGGGAACTAATAATTAAAAAGAAGAAAATCTGTGCAGGCTAATTTGATTCTTGCACATTAAATGTGACCACGTTGGTTAGAGGAGCATGCAGTTTCTTCAGGTTGCTCGAGAACTAATAAACTCAGATTCCACTTCCCTGTTAGATTCAAGAGCAAGGAAAAGTATTTTTAAAGCAAACTAAAAAAAATTGTTTCTTATGACAAACTGTAATGGCTGTGAAATAAATTGCACGCTGCAAACAAAATGGATTCTACAGCAAATGTCAGAACTGCATTTGAGATGTACAATACTGAGCATCACAGGCTACAAACCCATTTAATGATGGACTGAGCTTCTGGATGAATGTCTAACAAATGATTCCATCACAAAGTTATGGTGCTTGTTGAAAACTGCTTGGCACTGCCATGATATCAACATAAATGATCAATTAACTATATGGAAATGCACTGTGTTCAGTTTGCCAGCTAAAATGAGTTATTAAAATAATTTATTGACTTATTAATAAGAAAGTGACTTATGAAGGCAATACATGATGATAGCTTTAATTAAAAATATACATTAGCTTCTTTTTTTGGATTTTTACTTTCATGAAAACAATGCAGCTAGTCACTGGTTAACAGTGGAATTGATTCCACTTAACCTTCTGTACATTGAAGAACCTTTTTAACAGCACACATACCCTTCCTTTTCTGTCTCTCACCTGCAGCACTTGCTTTTTAAGAATGAAACAAACAGAAAACATCAATAACAGAAAATCTATTTCTTTTTTAAAAAAAAAGAAGCAGCCATGAAATAATGACCTTGACTATGTTAATTTTTGCTTGGGTGCTGAAATGCCAATGACAGCCCTCGAACAGTTCATTGAAAGCCAACAAACACAGGAGCAGACTGACTCAAAACAGACAATGTGGAAAAAAAACGGTTCTGCAAACATACCCACATGTGCTGAGGGCTGGAGCTTTGAGGCCACTGTTTGCTCTGTTGGCATTAAACAAATTAACTTTTAAAGAAAGCCTTTCTCCGTTCCTGTTGTTCAGCTCGGTGAAGCTTGGAGGGTTTTCTGTTCCAGTAGCAGAAACGTGGGCACTGTTCATTAATAGTTTTCAAATCAATCCTTCCTTGCCTCACATTGCCTGAATCTTTAAGTCCTGCTGATTCCCGTAGTGCGCAAAAAAAGCCGGAAAATGGCAAATGGATTAATTTTGATTTTCCTTGTTAGATTGTTTATCGTACAAAGAAATGTCCTTGGGTTCTTTGTTGTTGGATTTAGCTCAGACTGAGAACAGGTGCTGCGTTTCTCTTACACACATCCATAGAGAGGAACCAAAGAGAGGGGAGTCCGCCTGGAAATTACACCCTGCTACTCAGTCTCCTGAAAAAGGCAGCTGGATCCTTCTCACCCACTTTCAAACACCGAAGGAAACGGCACAGCCCTAATGCAATCACCTCCAGCTCTCCAGAAAGCTTCATTTGCTCGTGGTGTTTTTACCCATGCTGAGGGCAGTGATAAATACAGAGCGGTATGTCCTAATGGTTTCCTCCTGGAGTAGGAAGACGTTTTCCTTTTTAGATTCAGCAGGTCCTGTGCATTCGGTCTTGTGGCATCATCATCTCCTCCCCACCACCACCAACCCCCCCCCCCCCCCCCACGCCTCCCCAGACCCCTCCCCGAGAAGGTACTGGCAGTTTACAATCCTCAGCTGCTTCAGTCCCTGAAATTACCCGCGGATTAATCAGCGATCCGAGCTGGGAAATCACCAAGCAGCAAAAAACAACCTACCTTCTTGTGAAAATAGTCGTCCTGTTTCTGTCTGTATGCAGTCTGCAGGTATTTACTGACCGTCTGATCAACATGCCAGCACTCTGGGCAGGTTTTGGCTAGGCCCATCGATGAGGGGAGTGGGATCAGTGACTGTAGCAGCAACGCAATCTCACTCTGCCTTCAATATCAGTTCCCAGGGCTCTCTATCCTCCTGGTAGCATAGTGTCTCGGCAGCATCTTCTGCTGTGTCCCCTCCCCTCTTTAATCAGTGCATCAGGAACTGAAATGAGCGCCTTTTTACTGAGGAGCCCACCTTGTGTTCTCTCTCCCCTGCATCCAGGAAAATCGCCCAGAGTGAACACTTTTACTGATGTGGCTCTCTCTCACGTGATGGGAAAGGTGAATTCGACCCACGTGATGTTTCTGTAAAATGAACAATTAAGGCAGTCAATACAGATTGCCATTCCTCTCCCACTCCATGTAGGGCACAGCAACATGAAGTTATCCCTCACACAGCCATCTGCTTCAGAAACATTGCAGGGAGGTGAAATAGTCTCAGCAGTTCTTTTGAAAACAAAACTTGTTAAAATAAGTTATTTTACCCCTTGACCCCAAACTGTCGCTGGCCTTCCATTGTGGGGGGCTGTTATTTCCAAAACTTAAGAAGAGAATTACAGTTCTATTACTTTTTTTCTGACGATACTTTTAGCACCATGGACAGCAACCGAGTCTGCGAGTCGAACATTAGGTGTTCCTTTATCCTTTTGACTGCGACGACTTTTAATCATTTTTCAAAACAGTTAACAAAGACACAGACTAACTACAATTTCGGCAATTCTGTGACCCCCCCCCCCCTCCACTTCCACCCTCTCCTTGAGTTAATTGTACATTATTCTATATGATGCAATCAGAGGGGCTTTTAAGCTGCGTCTACAGCTGGGAGTCTCTAATGCAGTGTCAGCTCATTCTCAAGCAAAGAACCACAAAAACCTCTGGGAATACATTGTTTTTCCCTTAAAAACCAGAATGTTAAAAAGGAGTCTTTTATTTATAATTTCTGTGTTGGTGGGTTCGTGAAATGTGTGCCCAACCAGTGACTGCCGACAGAGTTCATTGAACTTGAAGACAAACGGTGAGCTACACAACTGATTACAGCCGCTGAATATTCCACATTCACACCTCAATTAAAAGAAAAACACTTATATTTGTCTGCTTATTTTCAGTTACTTTCATTTCCTCCTTTAATCCCACACTTCCTTCTGTGCTTCATGTGCCACTGCCCTTAGGCTTTTTAGAATGCCAGTAATCCTGAGCTGTAGCTTCACTAGGCTGGCACCTCATTTTTAGTTACAGCTCGTGCTGCTGATGGCAGCCTCAGTGATCAACCCAAAGCTGTTTTGACAGCAGCCTGTGTCTGATACAGCTTTGATCTTTTTCACTCTGTGTGACACTGCATCACCTCAACAGCACAATTTTCATCCTCCAGCCTTGCTCTCGAAAGGAGGACTTGTGTGGAAAAGGCAAGATTCCCTCTTAAATAAAAACAGGTAATGAAAGCTAAACATAGGGTGGCATGGTGACTCAGTGGTTAGCACTGCTGCTTCACAGCACTGGGGACCTGGGCTCAATTCCACCCTCAGGGGACTGTCTGTGCGGAGTTTGCAAATTCTCCCCATGTCTGTTTGGGTTTCCTCTGGGTGCTCCGGTTTCCTCCCACAGTCCAAAGATGTGCAGGCTAGGTGGATTGGCCATGCTAAATTGCCCACATTGTTCAGGGGTGTGTAGTTTAGGGGGATGGGTCTGGGTGGGATGCTCCAAGGGTCAGTGTGGATTTGTTGGGCCAAAGGGCCTGTTTCCACACTGTAGGGATTCTATGATTTCAGAAGTGCTCAGCAGGTTAGGCAGCATCTGTGGAGACACAGCAAAGTGAATGTTTCAGTTTGATGAGCTTTCATCAGAATTGCAGAGGTTTAGAATCTGTTTCTGTTTTGGTTTGGAGTCAAACAAGGTCACCTAACATGTATTGTCTGACCCAAAATGTCACCTCTTCTTTACACTGATAAAACCTTTAGTTCTCTCAGGGCTGTGACTTGAAAGGAATTAGGGATTTACATATACATATTAATCAATTAAAACCTTCTAACTGATTAAAGATTTAACAGCATCTTATTTAATACATCCTCATCAATGGTGTGACCTTTGATCTTTTACTTATAAATTCTGTGTCTGATACTACCTCTCTCACTAACACCTGAAGAAGGAGTGAGGCTCCAAAAGCTTGTGTTTTCAAATAAACCTGTTGGACTATAACCTGGTGTCGTGTGATTTCTGATCTTATCCACCCCAGTCCAACACCTGTAATTACCTGTAATTTTCCAAAAATCCTTGGCTTCTGGACCAGAGTGGATAGAGGGAAACCAATAGATATGTTGTATTCAGACTCCCAGAAGGCATTCACAATAGGTTAGGTCACAAACAGGAGCTCATGGTGTTGGAGGTAGTATATTAACATAGACAGAGAATTGGTGAAGAGACAGAAAACAGTGAGTGGGATAAAGGGTCCTTTGTCAGGTTGGTGACCTGTGACCAGTGGGGTTCTTCAGGGATCAGTGCTGGGACTGCAGATGTTTACCATATATATTAATGACTTAGAGGAAGGAAGTGAATGTTACCAAATGTGCAGAAGCCAGCTGTGAAGGGGGTACAAGCACTTTACAGAGAGATATTGACAGTTTAAGGATGTGGGCAAAATTTGCCAAAAGAAATATATTGTGGGAAAATGTGAAGTTGTTAATCTTGAGAGGGATAACAAAATAAGAGAATATTAGATCAATGGAGAAAAACTGCAGAAAGTTGCAACACAAAGGGACTTGTGTAAATAAAAACAGAAATTGCTGGCGAAACTCAGCAGGCCTGGCAGCATTTGTAGATAGAAAGCAGAGGTAATGTTTCGAGTCTGTTGACTCTTCATCAAAACTTGAGGTATTTGTACATGAAGCACAGAAAGCTAGCACACAGAGACCTCAGGGAATCAGGAAGGCTAATGGAATGTTGCCCCTTATTTCAAGGGGGTTGGAGTATAAGAGTAGGGAAGTCTTACTGTAACTGTACAAGGTGCTGGTGAGATCACATTTGGAGTACTGGGAGCAGTTTTGGTCCCCTTTGAAAAAAAATGATATCATTTCATTGGAGGCAGTTCAGAGAATATCCACTAGGATGATCCCTGATTGGAGGGATTGTCTTAGGAGCAAAGGTCAAACAGGTTGGGATTCTACTCCCTGGAATTTAGAAGAATTATAGGTGGTCTCAAAACATTAATGGGTTCTTATGGGGCTTGACAGGGTAAATACTGAGACTCTTTGTGTACGCTGAAGGCTGAGATAGATAGATTCTCGGGGAATTAAACATTACAAGGATTGGAGGGAAGTGGATGTGAGCAATGTTGGATCAGCCATGATTCTGTTAAATATCAGAGCAATCTCAGGGGGCCAAATGGCCTACTCCTGTTCTTATTTCTTATAGTTTTTTGATCTAAAATGATCATGGCTGATCATCCAACTCAGGACCTGTTTCTGCTCCCTATACCCATTGATCCCTTTAGCCCTCAGAAGCATATCTAACTCCTTTTTGAAACAGTTCAATGTTCTGACCTTAACCACTGTCCATGGCAGTGAATTCCACTTTTCCCCTCACTGCCTGACTCATAGAATCCCCACAGTGTGGAAGCAGGCCACTCAGCCCATCTTGTCACACTGACCCTTTGAACTGCATACCACCCAGACGCAGCCCCCTACCCTATACCTGTAACCCCACATGTCCCATGGCTAATCCACCTAGTCTGCACATCTTTGGACTGTGGGAGGGAATCGGAGCACCCGGAGGAAACCCACGCAGACACAGGGAGAATGTGCAAATCTCTTGATTCCCGGAGAGACCAAAAGTCTATCTATCCTAACTCAAATATGTTAAATAGTTAGGTAACCACAACCATCTGGGTTAAAGTATTTCATGCAGTTGTCCCTTAAGCTGAGTTTGTGTCACCATGTTTTTGATTGTTCAGCCAGGAGAAACAACCTTTCACTGTCTGCCCCTTCAGAATCTAATACATTATTTCAAGAGATCTTCTTTGAAACTTTGTAGAGTATGGATCCACGTTCCTCAGCTTCTCAAAGCCTCTCATTTGAATGATAGCCAGTCCAAACACTCATCGCATCTGTTTCACCCCAGCCCCGTCTTCTCTCCCATGCACCAGTTCAGAGGTCATCGCCTGGGCCAACACAGCACTGAGTAACCTTGTTCTAATTCAGAGCATGATTTGGTTGAAAATGTTTTCAAGATTGGCTGGGCAAATTTTGTTTCGTGACTTTTACACCATGCCCAATTTCTTTTCTGTTGAGCTGTTGAAACACTCCTACCAATTTTGGAATATTGCCTTACACCAAATTCATCCCCTTTTCCTTACATCCTTACAGATTAACAAGCCACCAGACATAACACTGAAAACCTGTCTGCTTCCTTCAGGATCTACTGACACAGACCTTTCTAACCTGGCCATTAATGTAATTCTTTTGGTCTCTCCCTCTGTCAATAGGATTTCACAGCACATGGCCATCATACTTCACTTCCTTGTCTACCAGCTTCCATAGCACAGAAAAATCACAATATTTACCAGCTGCCCTACTTTCCCTTGCTTTACCACCGAGGTTTAAATGGATGTTTAACATTTCTAACAGATGTTAGCACTCATTATTCATCTTACCACTCCATTGAACAGCCCACTGTATGGGTATTATATAATGAATTTATTGCAGCTCCCAAAAATAATAAAATTCTGGGTTAACAGACATGCTTATTCACAGGCAAAAACCTGAAACAATGTTCAGTTAACTCTTGCAACAGCGATACCTGGGTTTTAGTTTGGTTTCAAAAGCATTCACCCTGATATGATCTTTTTGTTGTTTGATTAGCAACTTTGCTGCTGCTTATTAAAATCAAATATTAAATAACTTTTATTTGCTTGATCTTGGGCTCACTATTCATTTTGAGGAGTAGAGAAAGTTATTGAAAAATGATTCACCATAATGCTCCATAGATAATATCAACAAATTAGTTGAATATTCACCTCCCTGCTGGTTGTGATATTGGACTACGTGCAAAGTGAAGTAGAATTTGCTGACAACGATTATCTCCGTTTAACAGGCATTCCTGAGAATGGACACAGAATATCCTTTATTGCCATGGAATAGATGGTGGTATATAGTGGTATATTCAGAGTTTCTTAAAGGGTAACTGAAAACATTGAACTTACCTAATCTATTTGAAGTTGTAACTTCCTTTAACTTTGGAATTTCTGAAAAAATATCAAGGCTACACATTGGGATCTTCTTGGAAAATTAATTTCAATTGAACAATTTCTGGGAGCCTACCTACATAACAGATCCACAGAGGATGCCATATCCCTAGCCTTGCACTCATCCCTGGAACATCTGGACAACAAAGACACCTACGTCAGGCTCCTGCTCATTGACTACAGCTCAACCTTCAACACCATTATCCCCTCCTGACTGATCTCAAAACTCTGTGACCTTGCTCTTGGCTCCACCCTCTGTAACTGGATCCTCAGCTTTCTGACCCACAGACTGCAATCAGTGAGGGTAGGTAACTGCACCCCCTCCACAATAACACTCAACACTGGCAGCGTCCACAGGATGTGTCCTCAGGCCCCTACTGTACTCCCTGTACTCCCATGACTCTGTTGCCAAATTCTGAATGAACACCCTCTACAAGTTCGCTGATGATACCACCCTAAGTGGGATGGGTATCTAACAACGACGAGTCAAAATACCAAAAGGAGGTAGAGGGCTTGGTATCATGGTGCAATGAGAACAACCTCTCTCTCAACGTCGGCAAAATTGAAGAACTGATCATTGACTTCAGAAAGAAAGGAGGAGAGCACGTCCCCATCTACACCAACAGAACTGAGGTTGAGAGGGTGAAGAGTGTCAAGTTCCTCAGAGTGACGATAACCAACAACCTGTCCTGAACTTCCCATGTAGATGCGACAGTCAAGAAGACACAACATCGCCTCTTCTTCCTCAGGCGGCTCAGGAAATTTGGAATGTCCATAAAGTCCCTCACCAACTTCTACAGATGCACCATTGAAAGCACACTGCCTGGGTGCATAACAGCCTGGTATGGAAACTGCTCTGCCTAGGACCGTAGGAAACTACAGAAGGTGGTGTGCACAGCCCAGACCATCATGGAAGCCAACCTTCCATCCATGGCCTCCATTTACATGGCTCGCTGCCACAGAAAGGCTGCCAACATCATCAAAGACCCATCCCACCCTGGTAATGATCTCCTACAACCTCTTCCATCAGGCAGAAGATATAGAAGCCTGAACACCCGTTTGAGCAGGATCAGGAACAGCTTCTTCCCTGCCGTTATCAGGCTGATAAATGGACTCTATAGCCTCAAATAATGCTGATCTTGCTAATGTTGATCTCACCTAGTGCACACCCTGTGCAATATACCCTGTATGCCTCTGTCTCAATCTATTTTTTACAACCTTTGATGTGTACATCCTTTGCTTCCTATGATCTGCCTGTACCACTCATAAACAAAGCTTTTCACTGTATTTCGGTACACGTGACAATAAATCAATAAATCAATCAATCAATGTGTTTCAGAAGGAAGTTCAATCTAAGCATCATTGATTCATTCTGTTTGTTGGAGGGAGATAAGGAAGATGGGCTAACATTCAAAAGAGATGATTATACTGAATTGGAGAACAGCAAATCCCACAAGAATTATAAAAATGTAGAATCGTACAGCCCTTCAGCCCATTGAGTCTGCATTGCCAAAACTACACTTCACTGGTCCCACACTAGGCCCTTAGCCTTGAATGCTATGACACTTGAACTGCTCCTCACTGTATTTTTGAAGGTTGTGAGTTTTCCCGCCTCAATGACACAGATTTGTAGATATGAACTGCATTGCTTCAAAAAAATTACACATCCCCAATGCATTAGAGTTACTCAGTTCATCTCAGTTTATCCTGTGACAGGAGGAGCGGGGTCAGTCAGAGTGACCTTGGGCGTGAACAGCAGGATAAATACCTGAGGAGCGGGGTCAATCATAGTGACCCTGGGGATGAATCTCGGCGTGGAGTTTTGGAGATGTTTAGCTGCAGCTCCTGATTTGACATATTGGAACAGCTGGCATTGTGGATGGACTCACTGTAGAGCATCCATGAGGCTGAGAATGTCGTGGATAGCATGTTTAGCGAGCTGGTCACACCACACCAGTAAGGGCGACACAGACAGGGAAGAGGATGCATGGTCAGGCAGTGCAGGGGTCCCCTGTGGCCATTCCCCTCTCAGACGGGGATACTGTTTCGGATATTATTGGGGGAATGGCCTGCCAGGGGAAAGCAGCAACAGCCAGATCAGTGGTACCATGACGGGCTGTGTTGTACAGCAGGGAGGATCAAAGTGTAGGCGAGCAGTAGTGATAGGGGACTCTATAGTTAGGGGCACAGATAGACATTTCTGTGGATGCAAATGAGACTCCACGATAGGGTGTTGTCTCCCTGGTGCCAGGGTCAAGGATGTCTCTGGGTGGGCACAGGGTATTCTGACGGGGGATAATCTGGGAAATTACAGGCCAGTGAGCCGCATGGAGAAGATTCTTTGGGATAGGATTTACTCGCATTTGGAAAAATATGGACTTATTAGCAATAAGCAGCATGGCTTTGTTTGGGAAAGATCATGTCTTACAAATTTGATTTGAGGTTTTTGAGGAAGTGGCAAGGATGATCAATGAGGGCAGGGTGGTAGATGCTGTCTTTACGGACTTCAATAAGGCTTTTTGCAAGGTCCCTCATGGCAAGCTGATACAAAAGGTGAAGTCACATGGGATCTGTGGTAAGCTGGTAAGATGGATACAGAGCTGGCTTGTCATAGAAGGCAGAGAGTAGCAGTGGCAGAGTGTTTTTCTGACTGGACATTTGTGACCAGTGGTATTGCATAGGAATGAGTGCTGGGACCTCTGTGGTTTGTAACATACATAAACGATTTAGAGAAGGATGTAGGTGACCTGATTAGTAAGGTTGTGGATGACACAAAGATTGGGAGAGCTGCAGATAGGGAGAACAATTGCTGAAGGATAAAGCAGGATATAGATAGGTTGGAAATAGTAAGAACTGCCGATACTGGAGTCAGAGATAACACAGTGTGGAGCTGGAGGAACACAGCAGGCCAGGCAGCATCAGAGGGGCAGGATAGCTGACATTTCAGGTTGGGACCCTTCTTCAGATTTTTTCTGAAGAAGGGTCCCGACCTGAAATGTCAGCTTTCCTGCTCCTCTGGTGTTGTCTGGCCTGCTGTTTTCCTCCAGCTCCACACTGAGTTATAGATAGGCTGGAGACTTGGGCAGGGAAATGGCAGATGGAGTTTAATCCTGACAAATGTGAGGCGGTGTACTTTGGAAGATCTAAACCTTTAGTAGCATCAAGCATACAGAGAGATCTAGGCGCACAGGTCCTCCGTTCCCTGAAAATGGTAACACAAGTGGATATGGCGGTCAAGAAGGCATATGACATGCTTGCCTTCACTGGTTGGGGCACAGAGTATAAAAATTGGCAAGGAATATTGCAACTGTACAGAACTTTCGTTAGGCCACACTTGGAATATTGTGTCCAGTTCTGGTTGCGAAACTACCATAAGGATGTGGAGGCTTTGGAAAGGGTTTACCAGGATGTTGCCTGGTTTGAAAGGGATTAGCTATGAGGAGAGATTGGACAAACTTGGGTTATTTTCACATGAATGTTGAAGGATGAAGGACAACCTGATAGAAGTTTACACAATTATGAGGGGCATGAATAGAATGGATAGTCAGGGTCTTTTTCCCAGGGTAGAAATGCCAATTTCTGGGGTCGGGGGGAGACATAGGTTTAGGGTAAAAGGGGGTAAGTTTAAAGGAGTTTAAAGGTTTTTTTATACAGAAGTGCTTGGTATGCGCTGCCAGAGGAGCTGGTGGAGGTTGGTATAATGGCAGCATTTAAGAGGCATTTTCACAGATATATTCAATCAATTGAGGGATACAGACCGTGTAGAGTTGAAAGGATTTATGTTTTAGAAAAGTGATATGTACTGGTGCAGTCTTGGTGGGCCAAAGGGCCAGTTCCTGTGCTGTACTGTTCCTTGTTCTTTGTTCAGTTTGACAATGGAACCAAGGAAACCAGTGAGAAGTTTATTAATGTTAATAAAATTGCACGTTTTTCAAAGTTGTTGAGCAGTAAACTGCATTCATGCGGGTGATATGTCCACCATGACCATTTTATTAATTGTTGAGGGATTCTATTCCTTAAATAAGTAATTAGTTTCACAAATTACTTCTCATTAATGCTATGTTTGAAGGAAACTGCCTTAAATCCTTTATTCTGAAGCAGTGTTATGTCTCTGCTCCCTTTAGTGAATAAGGGTAATTGAACCAGCTGGTTAGTTGATGGCTCTGGTTGTATTCCTTTGACTCTGATCAAACAGTGTAAGAGGAGCATTGTTTTCATCACATGTAATCCAGAATCAGGATTGAGCAAACTATTTGTAACAGAATAGAAGATTCTGGTATCTGGAGATGTCGTTTACAATGTACACCTTGTAAAAAGTTACGAAAATTGATGCATTGTGGTGTGCTGCACTTTCCTGCTCTAATAAATGAGGCGTTCAGATAGACAACTCTGAAAAGGAATGTTAAGTAGTAGCTGAAACCCTCAAAAACTAACTAATGGGTCATGAAGTGGATTCATCTGCGTCAGTCAGCAGCAAATTCAGAGCCATAATGCCAATTCATTCTGGAAAACTTCCATCCTGTGTGATCCAATTATTACAATTACATCTTAAATGGCAAGTTCAGTAATTTCCAAACCCAATGTCCATTTTCATCTTCTCCATTTCTATGAAATGTTTGACTGTCTAAAAGAATAAATGACTGAATGAATGGCACCTGCAGTTTGTCTTGGAATTTTGAATTATTGATCAAAGGCAGGAGTACACAAATCAAGACCAATGTTCTGGTGCAGTACAGTGGGAATGCTGCATGGTCTGAAGTGCTACATTTCAGATGAGACATTAAACAGAGTCTGGAAGAGCACAACATCTGAGGAACAGGGAAGTCAATATTTCCCGACTGAAACCCTTTGTCAGGACTGGGGAGGGGAGGGGAATGGGGCTGGGTGGAGGATAGGGGAGGTTGAGATAGGTGGACACAGCTAGGGGGTTATTGTGGTGGGTCAGTGGGAAGGGTGGAATAGATAGGTGAGTAGGAAGATGGACAGGTTAGGTCAGGTCAGGGAGGCAAGGAGGAGGGGGAGGGCTGGATATGGGATGAGGCTGGGGGTGAAGGATTTTGAAGCTGCTGAAGTCAATGCTAAGGCCATTGGGCTGTAAGCTCCCAGGGTGAAATATCAGGTGTTGTTCCTCCAGTTTATGTTTGGCCTCACTCTGACAGTGGAGGAGGCCAAGGATGGACATGTCACCAGGGGAGTGGGAGGGGGAGTTAAAGTGGATGGTAACTGGAAGGTCAGGTTGGTTGGTTTGTGCAGAGGGTAGGTGCTCCATGAACTGGTCCCAGAGTCTGCGGTTGGTCTCCCCGAGGTAGAGGAGACCCAATCGGGAGCAACGGATACAGTAGATGAGGACGGATGAAGTGCAGGTGAGTCTCTGCCGGATCTGGGAGGATTGTTTGGTGCCTGGGATGAAGGTGAGAGGGGAGGTATAGGAGTAGGTGTAGCACCTCCTGTGGTTGCAGGGAAAGTTATCAGGTGTAATGAAAGGGTTAGTGGGGAGCGTGGAGCTGAAGAGGGACTATTTGCCAGCATTTGGCCCATATCCCTCTGAACCCTTCCTATTTAAATACCCATCAAGATGTGTTTTAAATGCTGTGATTACACCAGCCTCCACCATTTTCTCTGGCAGCCCATTCCATGCAAGCACCACCTTCTGCATGAAAATGTTGTCCCTTAGGTCCCTTTTAAATCTTTTTCCTCTGACCTTAAACCTATGCCCTCTAGTTTTGGATTCCATTCCCCTGGGGAAAAGACCTTGTCTATTCACCTTATCCATGTCCCTCATGATTTCATAAATTTCTATAAGGTCACCCCGCAGCCTTCGACGCTCCAGAGAGAATAGCCTCAGCCTATTCAGCCTCTCCCTATAGCCCAAACCCTCCAACCCTGGCAACATCCTTGTAAATCTTTTCTGAAACCTTTCAAGTTTCACAACATCCTTCCTATAGCAGGGAGACCAGAATTGCCTGCAGTGTTCCAAAACTATCTAGGTAGTGTCTCCCACTCATCCTCCTCCTCTAACCAAAAAAAAAGGTTCTGAGCGCTGATTTGGTAAGGCTACTAGTATTTTTTTTTTAATTTGTCTGTTTGGGAATTCAGAACAGTGGGAATGGATGTTAGAGCAGTGGTATGCTCCTCCTGTAGAATGTGGGAGGTAAGGGTCACCACTAGTGTCCCCACTGACTTCATCTGCGGGAAGTGCATCCAACTCCAGCTCCTCGGAAACCGTGTTAGGG